GCCGCGCCTTTCGGCCGCGCTCGGGCGCCCCCTGCTGGCGCGAGGGCGCCGGGGTCCCACCGAGACGCGGGCGGGGCGAGGGCTGAGGGTCCGAGGCTTCAGGGAGCGAACTTGGCAGTGTGCGGAAACTCAGTGGGCGCTGCGCGAGGCAAAGTGGCCGGGGAAGTGCCTCTCAAGCTTTCTCGCTCCGGGATGTGTCATCGCGTGCAACAGCTGCCAAGCACAGGGGTACGCTTAGTCCCCCTAAGCATTTACTTCTGGTTTCAACGTTAGGAACCTAATCGGGACCGGGCCCCTTCACCTGGTTCTGCATCTGTCAGTCGCTCCTGCCTCGCGCCCTGCCTTCCTCTTGCAGCCAGCGCTTGCAGAAGGCGCTTTTCTTGAAATGACCTTTACATTAGGCAGCAGCGGAGCTTGTGGTCTCACAAGGTGGGGGAATGAAGTCACACACCAAAAGGAGGAAGCTAGGAGAGTTTTTATTGAAATAAGAATAGCTCCTGAATTCCCAGGAAGGGTCCCGGGTGGGTGACCCCGTGGACCCTCAGTCCCGAGCTACTTACAGAAAAGTGGAGCGAGGAACTGCTCAAGCGTCCAGTGGCCACCAGCACAGGTGCCTCTGTGGATTTAAAATGACCAGAGCTTGGCATTTAGCTTAGCGGCAAAAGCGCCTGCCTGGCAAGCGCAAGGTCGTGAGTTCGGTTCCTGGTACCGAAGAAAAACCAAAAAATAATAATAATAATAATAAAATAAAATAAAATGACCAGTTGGAGCTCGGGCACTGTAACCGTTTCTCAGCAGGTTAGGGTTTAAAGGAAACTGAGATATTAGGGGGAAAAAACTAGTTATTTCGCCTTTTAAATGCCTCAAAATTTAGGAGCGTAGCAGAGAGAGGCTGCAAGTCCAGTTAGTAGGTAGGGAGCACTGCCGTTCTTGCTTCAAAGTCCGACTTCACGGTCTCCAGGCACATCTCCTTTAACGACCAAGTCCCTTTCCCGCAGCTAGATGGTTAAGTGGCTTGTTCTCTAAGTGAGGAATTGTATGTAGCATGTACAAGATTCACAACGAAAAAACGGCCAGAGGAACCTCCAACCTGATGACTTTGCTTTTATTTGCATAACTTGCACGCAGCACTGTAATGCATAACAGAACATAAAACTACAATCCGCAAAAATTACAGTACTGTGTGCAGAAGGTGTACTGTACCAAAAGACATTGAGGGTCTATCAACAAGGTGAATAGAACTGTATTTTTAAAAAAAGGACAGGTCCATAAGTCCAAGGGGCAGGTCTTCAACCTTTAGTCTGAACAGTCGTTAAATGAGGACTATCAATATTAGATATCATATTATCAAAATGGTTGAATGAAAATGATTTATTTTTCATAAGGACACATGCCATCCAATAACCTATAAAATAAAATACAGCAACCACCAAAAAGCTATCGCATCAGCTGGGTGTAAGCAATATTGATCCCTCACATGTCAGAAAAGATAGGGATGAAAATTATGCAGAAAATCCAGGATATTTTATGATATAAAAACTGTTCATCAATAATCATAATTGAAAAACAGATGCAATCCAGATATGCTCTTTAGCAAATCAGTAAAATATCTGCTCCTGTATTTCCTCACATGCCCTTTCCTGACATCTTAGCAGCTTCTGTGAATTCTTCAAGGTTACATTGAACATGCAGTTGATATTGCTGGAAACTGTTTGCAATGTGCAACTTTGTCTCATTAATGAAGGGGCTTCTCCAGGTCATTGCCAGGGACCAATGAAAATAAAATATTACTAAGATATCGCAAAACCATGAACCTGCTTGACTGTAAAAAAAAAAAAAAAAAAAAAAAATCACCTGAAATGCCAAATATGCCTGACACCGAAACTGACATTAATGGAGCCACTGCTCTGCCTGTCCCTATGGTAAATATCTTGGAGAATAGAAAGACATATCAAGTATCTAGTAAAGAAGCTTTCTAGGGAGGAGTGTAGGACAAAAATTAAACACAAAATCACAGAGCCAAGAATAACTGTGATAATTAATTGTTCAATTGTTTCCTGTGGTTCAGAAGTGTATACATAACCCTTGAGAAAATAAGTGCACCCATATGATAGGAGACATTTCTATTTATCAAATAGTTTCAAAGGTAACATCACTTCTAAAGAATTTGTTTATATCTGAGAATTTATTTTATTATCACCTGAGGAACTGTTGGAAGCAAACAGTCCCCAGAAGCAAGCCCAGGGGCTGGGGATTTAGCTCAGCGGCACATCGCCTGCCTGGTAAGCGCAAGGTCGTGAGTTTGATTCCAGGTACCAGAAAAAAAACAAACAAACAAACAGACACAAAAAAAGAAGCAAGCCCAATCAAAAGAGTGCATTGATAAGTTTCTCTGGCCTTCAGCCCAGCTGTTCTGCCTGTATAATCTGTGATCAATAGGTCTCACACCCCATGCTCCACATCACTCCCTTCTGCATCAAAACAAGCAAAGCTTATGGTTTTTGGATATTGAGGCAATAAAGGTCAGGTAGCATATTTTCCCCAGACATTATATGTATCAGACATTATAGAAATAAAACATATTTTGAAGACATTTGTCTTTCCATGAAAGCTGTTTACTTGTACAACATGCTTAGTTAGGGAATGGACCTAAAATACAACAGGCTACAGACACTCCTTGTTTAACTACTGAGTTCCATTCCTGCAACAGCGTCATTAACTGAATTGGCTGCTAAATGAGCAATTGTATATAGTATGTACATTGAAAGATTCAGAACAAAGAAATCGTCAAAGGAAACTCCAAGCTGATGACTTTGCTTTTATTTGCATAATTCACACACACAGTAGTGTAATGTATAAAAGAACACAAAACTATAGTACCGTTTGGTGCAACCAACAAAAATTACAATACTATATAAATAAGGTTTACTCTTCCAAAAAAACAGACATTGAGGCTCTGTCAGCAATTGTACAGAAGTGTACAAAAAGAAAGGCCTGGTGGTAAGTCCAAACAGTTGTTAAATGGATAGGTCCTTAAAAGAGAACTATCTGTACTCAATTCTTATCAATATAACTGATTACTAAGTTTTATCTCAGGCCCTTCCTCTTGCTAGTGGCCTTACTCATGAGCTAACTAAATAAACTATTAGTTATTCACACCACAGCTCTTGCTGGCCATTTCCGTGAAGCACATGATATGAGTTGAAAAGGATGCAGTGTTTAAGTACACCATATAACGTAGGCCAAAGACACAACTAGCCTTACTTTCTCCAGTTTCTGCAATGTAAACTCTGCCTTAAGGTCTCTGTATTCCAAATTCTAACTTGGTTTTGGTCAGTTCACCGCCTGGGACCCCGTCTAGAGGCGACAATGCCTCCTGTACTGGGAAAAATAGTTTTCTTCTCTGTCTTGGTTACTTTTCTCTCCTTGCTGAGACAAAATACCCAACGCCCAAAATGAAGGAAGGAAAGGTTTATTTAGCTTACAGTGTGTGGAGGTTTCAGTCCATACTTGGCTGGCTCCGAGGCAGAAGGTAGCAAAGCAACAAGAGCAAAGGGGGGAATGCAGCCATACAGCAAACAGCCAGAGCAAAAGGGAGGAATGGCGGCAAGCAGCCTCTTTCCCTCCCTTACATTGTAAACAGGCTACCCCCCTCTAAGGGGTGTGCAGCTCTCACATAATCTCCATGCCCTCCTCTTGCACAGGCTCAGGAAGTATACAAAGTAAGTATCCTGGCTTCCTGCTGAGTCACTTAGCCAAACCTCTAGACTCCCCAGGTTGACATAATGTATCAACCATAACACTCTGAAACCTCACGGGGCTAAAAGTCCCAGCCCAATGTAAAATCAGCTCTCTATCTTGACAACCCCAAACCTGACCAGATTTGTGTCATTCTGCAGAAAGGACAGAGTTTGGTAAATGAATTGTTAACTGATTAAAAATAGAAGCACAGAATTTCTTTTCTGAACCAAAACAACAAAAACAAGACGTTGATGTGTTAATTCCTAGCCAGCACCTCTTGCCTAATTGAAGCATCTAGGAAAAGCATCAACCAACCACCTAACTTTTGGGAAGACTTTCTCCCAGTTCCCAATGAGGGCTTCTTTTTCACTGATCCTCATATTTTATGATTCCCATAGCTCTTAATAGTCTGCAAACAATGTCATGTTTAAATATACTCTTTCTGACATTATTCCCTAGTGTTATGCTTCTGCATGTGTCATTTCACAGAGCTATGGCTTTTGTTTACCCAGCAACCTCCCCAACTATCTCTTCTTTTGGGAATATAGCCCCTCCCCCACTACAACCAAGTAACAGTTCCCCTCTTTACCCAGAGTCCTTCTCAGCAGTCCCCTTCCCCTCAGTGGACAAGGGGCCTCCAGTGACCTAAGCTGAATCAGTCAGAGGCAAGATTTTCTAATTAGAGTTAATGAAAAAGTCTTCTTTCTCTAGTCATTCATGGGCTTTGAAGGGCACTAGCCTAGGCTTGATCGCGTCCTCATCTCTGAAGCGTATGGAGGCTACCTAATGGAGGAGGCCTGATTAAATTAAGCATTTGGAAAAACAGAGATTATCCTGGGTTATCTGGGTGGGCGCTGAATACAGCCATGTAAATACTTAAGAAGGAGGAGAGATTTGACGCACACATGAGAAAAGACAATTGACCATAGAGGCAAACGTGGGAGTGACACAGCCACAAGCAATGGGATGCTGGCAGCTGTTGGACCTGGAAGAGGCAAAGAACCATTCTCCTCCAGACCCTGTGAGGTGTGCATAGCCCGGTGA